AACCCTAAACCCTAAAACCTTCGGGTCGCCTCGCCTCATCGAGGCGGAGCGATAGCGAGCTGCGCCGTCGACCCTCGCGCTCGAGTTGCCGCTGCAGGTCGAGACGCTCCTGTGGAGGAGGCTTAGGGCTTAGGGCTTAGGGTTTAGGGTTTAGGGTTTAGGGTTTAGGGTTTAGGGTTTAGGGATTTAGGGATTTAGGGTTTAGGGATTTGGGGTTTTGGGTTTTGGTGGTTGGGGGTTCCTTTGGTTTTAGGGTTCAGGGTTCCTTTGAGTTTAGGTAGCTTTTTGTTTTAAGGGCCCTTTCCCGTCTGCTCTGAGTTTAGGGGTTTAGGGTTTGGGGTTTAGGAGTTTGGGGTTTAAGGGGGTGTAGGGTTTAGCGGGCTAGGGTTTAGCGGATTACCACTTCAAGGATTTCGGGCTTTGCTTTCTGTTGTTACCTGCTCGTTGCTTGCAAGAGTGCTATTAAAGGGGCTTCGGGTCTAGAGATATTAGAGATTTAGTGATTAGTGTCTTATTAAAGGGGCTTCGGGGCTAGAGATTTAGTGATTATGGATTATAAACCCTAAACCCTAAACCGCTATCAGAGATTAGGGGTGAGGGGTTCATAGCTTCGGGCATTTGGGCTTTGGGGCAGTGATCTTTCAACGGTTACTTGGACCCGGGAGCTTCAAACTGAAGGTTCAACCTAAAGCTTCGGATGCTGAAGCAACAGGTTTAGGGTTTAGGGTTTAGGGCTCAGGGTTTAGAGTTTAGGGTTTGGGGTTTAGGGACAGCAGAATCTGTGAACCATGGCTAACACTAGGCTAGACGTGCGGGCGTTATGTGGCAGCAGGGCCCGACACCGAAAAACCAAACCCCTGACTTCTTCTCGGCCGACATCCAGACACAGGAGGCTTTTGTACGCTTCATCGTGCTTTTCTGGATCCAGCCGGCTCTGCGAACTTCAGGATCAGCTCCTTCATGTAGCTGTAGCGCTACTCCCAAAACTCCACGTTGCCTCGGCCGCTGGCGAGAAACTCCTTGCCCACTACAGCTCCGACGTGTCCCTTTAGGAATCCACTTCGGAGGCTCCGGGCCGGACGATGAACCGGTAGAAATCCCTGCGTCCTGCCAGCTGTGACGCAAACTGTTTTGACTGCACACAAACATGAAAAGCTTTAAATTACAAGAATCGTCACTGCTACTAAACTACCAAAGCCCTAAACTTTAACTAATTTAATGTAAGCCCCCAAACCCCTAACCCTAGACCCCAAACCCTTAAGCCCCTAAACCCTGAAGCCCCTAAACCCCTAACCCTAAACACTTAAGCCCCCAAGCCCCTAGCCCTAAACCTTACAGACTATCCCCTAAACCCCAAACGGAACGCCCTAAAGCCTAAAACCTAACCCCTAAAACCCTGAACCCCTAACGGAACGCACTTACCTCCCCCCGGCCGGCCCCTGCTGACTGCTTTCTAAGGCGTCGATACTAGGGTTTAGGGTTCAGGGTTTAGGCTTTAGCGCATTTGGGGGCCTAAATGGTTTGTATAAGGCTCCTTTCAAAGGCTCTTTCAAGGGTTCGATAAGGCCTTCGTGGGATTTTAGAATAGGATGGTATAGGCGTCTCAATAGTTGGAACAGGGTATATTAGACTATATAACTATAATAAGGAACCGCCAAAATAGTATTGGTACTGATTTCGGCCCCTATAATACTTAGTCCCTGTGTGCTCGGTCTCATCAGAACCGAAGAGAGGAAGATTGACATTATTGCTACTGTTTGCTAGCTGCTAGTCTCATTACCGTCTTTATTCTTCGGTTATTATTCTGTTAAGTCTAACTTAAGCCAGATATGTCAGGGTTGAGAGCCTCATCCAGCTCCATCAGCTGAGCCTGGCGGCGAATGCGGCCCTCTACACTAAGCCCTGAACCCTGAATCCTATTCCTTACACCCTTGCTCGTAAGCATTGGCCAAAAACCCTGACACAGCTCCAAGTGCTTGGGAGGTAAAGTGTTGGTTCTCAGGACCAGGGCGCTTTGAGCGTTTAGGGTTTCGGGTGCAATATCATTTCGTAACTTGAGACTTCTACAGACCTCGGGTCTATAAAGGATCGGGGGCCTTAGTAAGCAGTTTTACCAGAAAGGTAACATAGGGGCCTTAGTAAGTCTGAATAATAAGGAACCACCAAATGGAATTGGGAATTTAGCCCCCTATATTAACCGTACTTAAATGTCACTGTCAGCCCAACTGCTGTCGGGTGCGGTACTGATACCCCTACTTACTAGTCTTCCTGGTCTTGTAAAACCTTACAGGGCCATGAACAGCGACTTGTTCTGCGAGCTTATACGGTTGTTCCCCACGCAGTGGTGGTACACGCTATCGGGCGATTGCATTCGGAATAAAGACACCTTGTCAGGCGTGTGAAGCACCCTAAATCCTAAACCCGAAACCCTAAAACCGAAACCATAAACCTCTCCAGGGGTGGCCACATCCTTAAATTCTGTGAACAAGGCGGGTCCTGGACCCTCTAAACCCGAAGCCTGTGCTTCGTCATAGGGTTTAGGCCTTCAGCGCGTAGCCAGGGCCTGTCCCTCTAGGGTTCAGGATGGTTCAGGGTTTTAGGGCTCGTGGGCTTCGGGAAAAAATACGGTGTAATTTACAAGACTCTAGGCTGAGGGCCTTGGCGATTTATGGAGAAGGGGTTTAGATACAGGGTTTCAAGTTTATGGCTCCATAGTTCGGGTTTACTTTGCGGTTTGCCAGGGTTTGGGTTCAGGGTTTTACACTCACGAGTCGTGTTCCCGGGACTTCGTTTGTAGGGTGCCTGTTTGATAGGTGCACCGGTTGCCTGGAAAGTCTTGTGGGTTGTAGGATGGAGAATCGTAAGTAGGCTGTCATAAGGCAACATGTTGAGTGATGATCGAGGGCATAACAGACCAGGCACTAGAACACCAGAAACCTCCAGGCCGTATAGCAGCGGCAGCACACTGTCCCGGTCTCACATTGAGAAATCAAAAACGCCTGTGATCACAACCCAGTAATAAAACTCTTCTAGACCTCTCACAGCAACTTCACCCAAAAACTTCACGCCCCAGAGACACGCCCTAAAACAAAACAAACGGTAGAGTTTGGGGGTTCAGAGATGTGGAATTCGGAGTGCAACGCTGACTTCGGACAGCTTCAAGCCCAACCCCGCGCCCATTGCGGATTTTATGCACGGCGATCGAGTGCCAGGTCGTGATGCGCAAACAGCGCTTCAACGACTCAGCATGAGTACACAGGGCTTCCTTCGTTCCACTATTTTCAGGAACTTATGCCAGTATTGTGGGCTGGGGTCGTCGCAAAAACGCACAACCCTGGAAAGGAGCATAAATCAGTAACGAAGTTCATATGTGTAAATCTGGTTGTCTATATCTATGTGTTCGTTTAAAGTGGTGTATCTACCTATACACACACACACACAAGTCTTGTGTACACACTGATATCATAATATGATATGATACAACATAACAAGATACAATATAGTATAACATGGTATAAGATAGGATAGGGAAATGTAAGGTATTGTAACGCATTGCACCAGAACATACTATAAACTAAGGTAGTAAAATGTTATACAGTATAACATACTACAAAAAAGTGCAGTCTGATATGCTATAATACCACATTTTATGGCACAATATAAGACTAAATGTAAAGTAGTATTATGCTACATGCTACTATACTAGATTGAAATATGTTAGATTATTACAACATATTCCAGTATAGTATGTTTTGCTATAGCATGCTTTACGATACTATACTGTAGTCTACTGTACTATACTTTATTATACTATGAAATATGTTTTAATGCTATATTATACTATACTATTTTATGCTATGTTATACTATGTTTTATTGTGTTGTACTCTATTCCCTTACAGTAGACTATAATGTATCACATCGTATGTATATGCGTGTGTATGTGTGTGTATCTGCATGTGAGTGTGTGTGTGTGTATATATATATATATATGCGAGTATGTGTAACAGAAGGGGTTAGGTTCACAGGACGACACGTCTGCTACAGCAGGGATGCCAGCCTCAGCTTTGGAGGCTCGCCACTCAGGATTAAGTGCATAAGCCACGAGCCCTGAAGCCTGCGAGCAGTATATGTACCAGAAAGATATCCAGGCTGTACAACTGGCAACCGTAACATACCACATCGGACCCTGTAGTTTGGGCTCGCAGCATCAGTCACTTGTCAGGACTACTGGCGCGCGAAGGTGGCCTGGGATAGGATTTGGGCACGGAGTATAGGGCTTCGGATGGAGTTTTAGATCCAGCCTTCAGAAATTAAACTACCTGGGTTGTCGGGGACTTTGGGTAAGGGCTTCTCTGTTTAGGGAGAATAAGGCGCCGGTGGTCTGGATTTCAAGGGTGTTGGCTTCAGGAGCTTTGCGTCCGGATCCAGGGTCTGCGTTGAGGGTCCTGTTTATGAGCGGTCTGCGGATTGTAGTCCAGCCTTACCGCCTCACGAACAGAAAACACGGTCGTGCTGCAAACAAAGCTGCACAACTGCCAAGCTTGCGACCCAGCCTAAATATCGTGACTCAGAAGAAGGGCCTCTTCTTTCAGGATATTACTGATAGCATTCTGACACAAAGTCGACATAAAGTACACGGTTGACCGTGGACTTCCGAAAACACCAATCAGCTGAGACTGACAAGACTTGGGCTAGGGTGTTTACGTCGCAAATGCTGTGAAGTCTTCGCTGTAAACTGGACATATCACATACTGTGGTATTTTGATGCTACAAGCGCCAGAATCAAGGGGGAATATTGTTATTGAGGGTTTCCAGGGCTCCCGAATGCATTCATATTAAGTACAACTAGTACAAGCCCCAAGCCCAGTCGACTTTACACTGCAACACATCCTGGAAGAACAAATCCTCAGCTCATCGCAGCTCCAAGCCGCCACTCAGAAAGCCCTGTGACACTACAGTTTTGTGCTACACTACACCCTCAACCCTAAACTTTCAACCCTAAACCCAAAACCCTACAACTCAACCAAAGTAGAACACACCGGACCCTGCATCCCACAGTAGCAGTCCAAGGCCAGAACGTAGATCCTGTGAGCGTGACGGGACGAATCATGATAAAAGGGGTTTAGAGTTTTGGGTTTCGGGTTTCCCACCAGCACCTGCCTGTCATTGGGAACAGAGCGAAAAGCAAAGACATCCCTAACTGTCCTAACTAGTGGTTGGATAAAAAGCCACAGGAGACAAGGAAATGCTGGCAGCCTGGCACATGCGAACACGACGTCCGCAACGAGAACGCAAATTGTAAACAGTTTGAAGTGCAAACCTTTAGCCCCCTCCGCAAGCCAACCAGGCCCCAAAACCTTAGCTAGTGATCTGCGGCATTGCCTGGCCACGGCTGGGGGCTGAATTTTCGGCGGTAGAGCCTTGGATGGTTGCAGAGCTACGCTGAAGATCTTCGGCGCTCTTGTGCGTTTCAGAATGTCTTCAAACCTGATAAACCTTAATCTCTAAACCTTACGGTGAAAAAGAAGATCTGAAGGCCGTAAAACAGACCGCTTAGTCGAAACTTGTGCTTGTAATGTAATATGGCACTTATTACCATACTGTATACACTCCCCCGACATATAGCCTGTGTGAACTTGGCTTGCGCGAACACTCTCTGGCAAAGCCTGCGGCTGCTGCGCTATGTTGCTAGCTAGGCTCTCGCTGTGGCGTCCCATGGTTGTCAAAAACCAGGTCACAAGGACTGCAGTTTCTCAATGTTTCTCGGTTCCGCTACACGCCGGAACGATGCCTTAACATCTAAGCAAATGTCCAACCAACCCCCTTGCGGGCTGGTGATGCACGGGTTAATGACTCGCCGCACTTCTGCAAGATCACTCACGTAGCACAATTTGGGTTTGGAGTTTGATGATTGGTCTTTTGAGTCGGATCGTCGCATGCACGTTTTTGGGTTTGGGAGTGGTCTCGACCAACATCTCAACACACGCTTGCAAATAGTGGCTGAGGAAATACGAAGCACTCTACACACGGTCCTGGTCCACAGCGTTTAGTGTTTGCATTGGGCTTGGGTTACATCAGCTATCCGGCATGTCCAAGGGCGGCGCAAACAAGCGTGCTTGGCCTTGCATGGGGCATGGCTTGGACGGAAAACATCCTATCAGGGTTGTTTTGTCCACCTTGCATGGTTCTGCAGGGCACATACTGCGAAGCTCATGCAAGTGCTCAGTTTGTTGCTAACGAGAATCAGAACACTTCCGACATTTCGGTGCCAGAGATCGCTTTTCGCCCGCAGGCGTATGTATGTATACGACATAATACATACATACCTACATACATACAAACATACATACATACATACATACATACATACATACATACATACATACATACATACACACATACATGCATAATCATACATAATCATGCATAATCCTACATATTCACACATAACCATACATAATCATACAAACACATACACATACATACATACAT